GCTCTTTGGGGCATGTGGTATCTCACTTAAGGAGAGGTGGACAAACTGAAAACTAAGTTCAACAATGTGGGCGCTGACTCAAGTCACAGTGGAAACTCTGGATACTGAAGCTCAGGTGAGCTGCTTGGAATGCTACACCATTGATCCTCAGACGGTAACACATCCCTTGAGAACAATGGAAGCTTCACATTTGAAACCCTCATAGATTGCATCCCATGCATCCATTCCTTAGGCTGGTTCTAATTTGCATATTTTCCCTATAAGGACTTGTATCTATTAGTATAACTGCTTTCAGTAAGTTCTGAGTCTTTCTAGTGAATTACCAAAACTGCAGATGGTTTGAAGAAATCCCCAAACTCATAGGTGATATCAGAAGTAAAGGTGATCGTGTACAGACCTCCAACTTTGTAGTAAGACCCTAACCCCCTGCAGTTGAAGTCATAAGTCTTGGAAAGATTTGGCCATCTGAAGGACTGTTCCTTTGGAAGGACCTCGCAGTTTGGCTAACCGGGTAAATCGTAAAAATGTTTAAGCAGTGGGTGACAATTAGACAATGTATAAAATCTAGATTCTAGAATAATCACTTTGGTTACACTGGGGAGAATATGTTGTAGAAGAGTAAAACTAGCAAGAGGTGACAATGACAGTGGGACTGGAGAGGGACATATTTATGAGATTTACAATGCAAAATTAACTGAATGTGAGGAGGGATAGGAGGAGAAATCAGGGATGGACACATCAGAAAGAGAATCAGGTTTTAGTTCTGTTTGTTCAGGAGGAGATGGAGTTAAGAGGACTGAATTAAATTTTGGACAGTTTAGCCCTGGTTGGTGTGGCTCAGTGGGTTAAGTGCCACCCTGTGAACCAAAAGGTCATGGGATTGAGTCTCAGTCAGGGCATATGGGGCTAGATCCCCAGTTGGGGGCCTGCCAGAGACAACAGATGGATGTAAACAGATCAATGTATCTCTCACACATCAATGCTCCTCTCCCTATTTCTCCCTCCCTTCCCCTCTCTTAAAATAAATAAAATCTTTAAAAAATTTATTTTGGATAGTTTGAGACGCATTTTAGACATCCAGGTAGAACTGTCTGTTCCATTAGCTGTCAAAGCAGGGATAAAGATAGAATTGGGAACCATTGGCATAACTACAATTACCAAATTCAAGGGACAGACTGATATTGACTAAAGACAACTTAACCAGATTTGAACGGTCAAGGACCAAACACCAAAAATAAAGGAATAGGCAGTGTATTAAAAACTCAGAGAATAAGTGGCAGCCTGAGAGAAAGGAGAAAAACCTGAAAAGTACAGTTAACACTGAATGGTTGGTATTTATTGTCCTCTTTTTTGCCAATATCATTTTCTCCACTTCTTATAATGAACATTATAAGAAAAAAGATGTTTTAAGTGAATATTATAACTTACATCCATGTATTTTTCAATTTATATATATAAAAGTGAGACAAAGTTTAATGGTTTTCTGACCTATCTCATAGTCATTAATGATTCACATAACTCAATATAACTGAATTATTAGTGTCTCTAATCAGTCATTTTCTTTTCCAAGCCTTTTTTAAAGCACCCACCCTCAGTACTACTGTAAACCATCTGGAACTACTTAACTTTGCCAGGCTGTTGGGATATCTGTCTCCCCTTGAGAAATCCAACCCAGAGAAATGCATAACTGAGGAAACACTGCTCTAAAAATGTAGTGACACGCAGCTCTAATAACAACTTGAGAGTATTTGTTTCTTTAGGATTAAAACAAATAAGATTTATCCTCAGTATAGTACAGAGGTATAAAATATACAGTATTGACCCATGTAATGTGTACAAGTAACCTCAACATTCATATCAGCTAACTGTAAGATCAGTTATAAATTTTTTATTTGCAATTTCAAAGATATAAACATCTCACCACCTCCTTTTCAAAGAGATTATCTCAGTTATCTTAGAAATCCTAATATGTCATTAGAATATATTTAATTATTTTTCTTTCAAAATGTTAAATGTGATTATCTAGAAGGGAAGATCTAAGTACATATTTCCCATTTTGAAGACTAAAAACTTTTATCCCAAATACTTCTCTGAAAAACTATTTAAACTTAATTATAACTATATTTTGTCCATTTAAACCTTGATCCTTTACCTATCTAAGTTACTGCTTATCTCAAGCTAGTTCTGAGCTTCGAGTTTTCCAAAATGAGGAATGATAAATGTATCTGCCGTTCTTATTCTAAAATTCTTTTGAGAAGTAAAATGTTGAAAACAAACATTTACTATATTTTTTTAAAGTAAATTTGCAACCAGTGTATGCATAAAACAGTACTGAGAAGATAAGCACCTTTATTTTTTTTCTTCAGAGAACCTCAGTCCATTTATTGGTTACATACTGTCTATTTCTAAAATATTGACAGAAAAAACACACTAGAGATTTATGGAACTGGCATTATACAGAGTGTTAATTTCTTCTTACATTAATCCCAACTATCACTTTGGTATATACAGTTCAGGTAACTTAAGAACTTTAGCGCTATACAACAAGCAGGACAGTTTTTAAAGAATGTTAAGAATTCCTGGAATAAACAGAGTGGGTGGGTAGTTGAGGAAATATTTTTTTAAAAAAATCTTCACCTTCCTCAAAAAAGCAATTCCGAAATATTCCTATTCAGAGTTATTTAAAAGTATTTCTTAGGAAATTTGAGAACCCAACATTTCAAATACACCAGGGAGAGTTCTAAGGTTCAGAAACTGAATTGAGAAATGTTAGAATCATTTCTGAATCTGGAGCCACAGTATTCTCATCTGTAAAAGAAAGTGCTTGGATAGAAAACGATCTAGCCCTACAATGTCTTCCAGTACTGATTCTTATAACTAAGTGATAAGATTTTCTTTTATAAATATAATAAAACCTAAAAGTGTTAAAAGTATATTTTTTAAACTCTGAGGGAGTTTTTTTTTGTTTTGTTCTATTTTTGGTTTATCTGTTAAGAATCTTTGAAGTTACTTTACATAAACAAGCCAGCCATTTTATATATGAGTAAGAACAGGCTATAGCCTTTGCACAAAACACAGTATAAATGATAAAATCTCTGATTTAAAGTGAAATATTTTCCAACTTTACTTTTGCTAGTTTTACTCCAAATCCAAACTTCATTCTCAATTAAATAGCCATTTTATCATTTGAATACTTTTCCTAGTTTATACATGTATCAAAATTAATCTTGTTGCCCTTTGACATGGAAAAACATTTACTTGCCATCATCTTTATATACAGTTTATTCTTTTAAAAACCTTGAATGACAAATGTTCATAGTTGTTTTGAACTAATGAGTCTTTTTAATTGACCTTCTCTAATGTTTAAATATTGTTTTTTCATTCTTCAACAGCATTTGTAAAGGTAAGGACTGTCAAAATAGAATTAGTCTGATGTCGAGATAAATTCTTCCACATTGGTAAACATTTTCATTTTGTTTTTAGTAACAAGTTTTAAGTGTCTTTAAATAGTGTTAACAATGGCATTTCATAAGCCCTTTTCAATTACAGTTTACAAACACTAGGAAGACTCTAAACTATCAATACTCTTTGTCTCTGGGTATTGGTATTACACGCCATTTTTTTTCAGTGCCCAAAAAGCATTACTGCTACTTTGCTAATCGGAGATTATTTCAAAATTAAACTTTAAATAGCTTCTAAAGCATGGTACATCAACACATTTCACTTCTACAGCAGGTATGTTAAATGTTTTTCCCCTATTTATAAGCTTCTGCTCTAACAGGGAAATTTTTTATCAACGGTTGGATGAAGACAAAACATTTACTTTCCAGACCCTTATCTTAATTTAGGCTTTTAAGGAAATCCAAGTGAGTTTGAATTTAATTGCAGTGACTCTTGCAGCAGTAAACTTTTGGGGGGCCCGCATAACACTTTCCATTACAACTATCAGCAAAACGGCCAAAGATTGCCAGGTTTACCAATGTTTCCAGAAACTTGTTAGTATTCTTCTCTGTCATTATTTCAGAACAATTCCATTTAAAAAGAAACGCAAATGTAAACCGTTTCTATTTCAAGCCCATAAAAACTAGAACTGGAATGAAAGGCAAAGCCATGACCTTTCTATTTTTGACTTTCATCTGTGTAGCTCAGCCATCTGCTTTCTCTCCCCTACCCCACCAACTTAATGGACTGAAAATACTGCACCTAATTGCAATTTTATTAAACCGACCTGACTTTTCTACTCTTAACGAATTAGGGCTTGATTTTCAGGGGTCTTGCACCCTAAGCCTCGCTTGTAAAATTTTGCTTACCCCTATCTCCCAATTCCTTCCCACATCCCTCAATTATGAGTTATCAAACATCTTTAAATTAGGACATTAGGCTCCCGTGTATTAAGCCACCTAAGAGCTCTCCACTTTGAACACTGAGCGCCCGACGGAAAAATCTACTCCAGTCTCTCCTCCTGTGGCTATGGGGCCGGTATTACCACTGCTGTTGCAGTTACGCAGGATTCCCTTCTCGGCTCAGCCTACAATCGAATTGCGTGTCTCCGCCGCCAAACAGGCACTCATACCAAAAAAACGAAAAGAAAAAGAAAACAGAAAAGAAAGACTCCGGCAGGAGAAAAGCTCCAAGAGAAAGGGAGCTGGGAAGAAGAAAAGAGCTCTCAAGACTGGAAAGAAGGACCTTTCCGAGGCACAAAGGATAAGGGCTTGTGAAGTAGAGAAAGAAGTGGGCGGCCGAGGTGAAACGGGAAGAAGGGGCCGGGCCCGGCGGGAGGGACCGGGGCCTGAGGAGCGGCTCCCCGGCCGGGCAGGAGGCGCGGGGGCCGAGGCGGGCGTGGGCAGCTCACCGCCGACCGCCAGAGTCAGAGCCAGCGGGGGCGCTTTCAGCAGCGCGAGGCGCGGGTGTGGGGGATGAAGAGCAGAGAAAAGAGCAGTTTGAGGGGCCGACGCGGCAGGGGCAGCGGGCCCACCCCCAGTCGAGTCCCGCTACTTAACTATTTGTAGAGCTGCTGCAGGCACAGGTCCAGGCTCTCGCCCTCCACCTCCTCGCGGGTAATGCGCTCGGACAGCGGCCGTGGGAGCGGGGGCAGCGGCGGCAGCTGGGGCTGCGGCGGTGGCGGTGGCACGGCCGACTGCCCCGGGGCTGCCTCAGCCTCGTCCTCCTCGCCCGCCGCCGCCGCCACCTCCGCCTCCGCCTCCGCCTCCGCCTCCACCACCGCCTCCTCCTCCACAGCCTCCTCTTCGGGCTCGGGGTCTTGGTCCTGCTCTTGCTCCTCCTCCTCCGTCGCGGCTACCCTGGCCGCCTCCTCCTCCCCAGGCTCTTCGACCGAAGCATCAGCTGCCTCAGCCGCTAGCAGTTCGGGCTCGGGTTCTGACTCGGGTTCGGGTTCGGGTTCAGGCTCCGGCTCGCCACCACCGCAGGGTCCGCGAAACTCGCCCAGGAATAGCTCCAGGAAGCGCCGGTAAGTTTTCTCCTCAGGGATGCAGCCGGCCATTGCTGCTCGAGCCCCGGAGCCGACCGGGAAGTGGCAAGGGGGAAGCCCAGGAAGGGGAGGGGGCTACTCTCGAGCCTCAGGCTCCCACGAGGGCGGTAAACCACCTCACCGGCACGAGCGATCAGCACTAGGTTGCCTGGAGAGGGCTCCCGCAGACGTGCGCGCCGCCGAGTGCCGACGTGCGCGACCCGGGGGCGGGGGCGGAGCGCGTCTCCCCTCAGATCTGGAGGGAAAGTTGGTGACGGGAGCGCGCTCGGGGTCCCGCGGAGGCCCACCCTTCTAGCCCAACGGAGAGCTCAGCCGACACTGCCTAGAGACCGTCGCCATGACAACCATCTCTAATTAAGAGTTTCTGGGTCCCTCCCGTCGTATGCCTGGAGTCGAAGTCGAAAGGACACTTGAGTCGCCTGCTCTCCAACTCTGAATGTCTTTATTGTATGGATTCCGTAGTCTCAAGTGGATAAAGTGAACTAAAACAACTCCAAGTCTAGCTGTTGGTTCCCACTTTGATTGGCTCTACCTCAGTGTTCCTTATCCGTTCCTGCCTTGCGCTTAGCGTCTTTATTTGTGGAAAGATGCTACAGTGTGAACACCTTTTTTGATGACACTCCTTTAATAAGTAGTTTGGGGGCAGTGGAGGGCATCAAACACATACCAAATGGTAGGTCCCTTTGAATACTTTTTCTCATTTGACTCTGTGAAGAAAGTGGTCTTGTCCTCATTTGTCAAAAAGAGGAAAGCAGGATTAAGTACTTGCTTCGAGGTGTCAAAGCTACTAGCCATGACATTGAAAGAAGAATCCAGGTTATCAGACTCCAAAGCCTTCTAGATTTTTTTCCCTTTTCCTCTTTTCTGAAGATTCAACAGTGCAATATGTCTATAAAGCCTTATTTTTATGGGGCTTTATAGTTTACAAATTGTTTTTCGCCACTGTAATCCTTATAAGTAGCACATTAAGGTAGAAGGCATTACAATTATGATTCCATTTTATAGATGAGGAAACTGAGCCTTAAAGACATTGTGACTTTGCTCAAGGTCACACACAGTGGTTATAAATCCAGATCTTTTCATTGCAAAGCCATTAGTGTTCCACCACACTCCTCTTTAGTTTCTGCATAATACACATCATACTTTATCACATAATATGTATTTTTTCTACATTTTGCTCTTCTTCCTCATCTCCCCAATCTCTTTTCTTTCTTAGATTGAAACTGAAACTTTAAATGATTCTAATTTTCTTACCAAACTACACACAAACCTATTATTTTCAAGCCTTACTGAGTGAGGGTTTGGGAGAGGGAGAAGCTGTGTTGTTATACAGCTGAATAGATGATAGCATCCTTATTGCACACTGCCATGACCATGTAACATATAATTCACAACATGGTGACTCTTTTTCTACTTTGAAAAACATGTTTACCTCCATACCAAAAATAAAAAAGAAAAACATGTTCACAAATTATCCACCCATCCTCTCCATTTATTGTTTCTGGGTTTCAGTTGGATTTAAGGTCTGAAATACTATTTACAGTCAGTTATTAATGGCAGAAGAAGGAGCCTCCCCTGCCAACTGTTTTCATATAATACTGTATTCTAAATCCCTGACCTGATACTGTTATTTTAAGATTAAGTGGGTTGAACTCACTAATGTACATTATGGTATCATGTAAAATAAACATCCATTCTCTCTCCCAGCTTGAGATTAAATAATATGTGATAGAAACTGTATAGTGATTAATGCATGAGTCCTCTATATTTATTTTTGTCTCAAAGGTAAATGGAAAAACCCAATAAATAAGTCTGTTTCCAGACAAGCTAAATGTATTTATACATGGTTTGTTTAAAATATCAACCAATGTAGAGCGACTTCTCTGAGATGCCAAGAAAGCCTTTAAACTCCCCATTTGTCATTGTTTTCAATCCACCTGTTCATTTCCATTTCAGAATGTCTAGAAAACACTGACAAAACTCCTAAGACTGCAAACTTATCCTTGACTGGTGTGGCTCAGCAGGTTGGGTGTCATACCACAAACCAAAAGGTCACTGGTTCAATTCTGGGTCACAGCACATGCCTGGGGTGACCAATCAATGTTTCCCTCTCTCCCTCCCTTCCCCTGTCTCTAAAAATAAATAAAGAAAATCTTTTTTAAAAGAACTACTAAACTTCGCGACAGCATGGATGGAACTCGAGAGCATTATGCTAAGCGAAATAAGCCAGGGGGCGAAAGACAAATACCATATGATCTCACCTATAAGTGGAAACTAACCAACAATACAAAGATGCAAGGAAAATAAGACCAGCAACACTGAAAGGAAAGGAAACCAACAAAGACAAGAGGGAAGTGGGGGGGGTAGGGGAAAAGGAAGGGAAGGGGAAAGTCAAGGAACATACAGCAAGGACTCATGGACAAAACCAAAAGGGAAGAGTGAAGGGAGGGAGGGAGGGAGGGGGCAAAGGGAAAGTGGTGAGGGGGAGGCAGAGACAAATGTATTTGAAAAAATAAATTAATTAATTTAAAAAAATAAAATCTTTTTTAAAAAAGACTAAAAACTTACATGTCTACAATTTTATATTGCAACTATTCAATATCTCAGAATTTGACATGATGACATTTAGTTCAAGAGTACATAGCTTTCAACTGTAACAATTCACATCAAGCTACACCTTCCTACTTTGTAATGTGGTTGCCTTCCTCATCGAGGTGACATTTATTTGTGACATTAATTTATGACTCAACCCACATATTAAAGGGAAGTGTTATATGTTGGAAAAACATTACTACTAAGAATAAAAGAAAAAGCCCACACCTCTATATTACAATAAATTATAGGTGTGTTTGCTTATATTAATAAAGATATTACTTCACAAAAGATCCATCCTAGTGAATCCATTTGACAGAGTAGCTTTGCCAGAAAGAAGGTTGCTGACAGCAGTGCTGGGATCTCAGAGCAGATGTGTAGGATGATTTTCCCATTGTCAAGAAGTCTTTTTAGTCATTATTTTGCATTGCTTTACTTTCTTGGTTCCTCTCCTCTCACGCTTACCTCACCCCCTTTCTTACTGTCTATTAAAACATATTGGGCCCTGGCTGGTATGGCTCAGTGGCTTGAGCGCCAGCCTGTGAACCAAAAGATCACCAGTTCGATTCCCAGTCAGGGCATGTGCCTGGGTTGCGGGCCAGGTCTCCAGTTGGGGGCGTGCCAGAGGCAACAGATTGATGTGTCCTCTTGCACATCAATGTTTCTCTCCCTCTCTCCCTTCCTTCCCTTCTCTCTAAAAACAAATAAAATCTTAAAAAAAAAACATTGAGCTATGAAAAGCGTATGTTACCAAGGGTACTTAAATTTTTTGAGACATTTTTCTCATAAGAATTGTTCTCTCTCTAATGTTTAGCTCTTTGGAGGAAATGCACAATGTCCTTTCATGGACATTTATGGTAATGATGATATTTATAAGTTTCAAAAGAATTGTGTTTGACAGTTTCTTTCATAAGACCCAGCAATTCCTCTCCCAGATATTTACCCACAAGACATGAAAACACATCCACCACACATACACACACCACAAAAAAAACTTGTACATAATATTCACAATAGTTTTGTTCATAAGAATTCAAACTTGGAAATAATCCAGGTGTCCATCAATAGGTGAATGGATAAAAAAAATTGTGGTGTATTCATACAAAGGTATACAGTTCAGCAATTTTTTTAAAAAATGAACTGATAAACTCAACAATATGGATGAATCTCAAAAACATGCTGAGAATTACCCTTGCTGGTGTGGCTCAGTGGATTGAGTGCTGGCCTGCAAACCAAAGGGTCACCAGTTTGATTCCCTGTCAGGGCACGTGCCTGGGTTGCTGACTGGGTCCCCAGTCGGGGGTGCAGAAGAGACAACCACACATTGATGTTTCTCTCCCTGTCTTTGTCCCTCCCTTCCTGTCTAAAAATAAATAAAATCTTTAAGAAAACATGCTGAGAAAAAAATCCAGGCAAAAAAGAGTATATACTCTATGATTCCACTTATATGAAATTTCAGAACAGGCAAAAACTATAGTGGCAAAAAGCAGATTAGTGGTTGACTGAGACTGACGGGCGGTGGGGGCGGTGGAGGATACATGGCAAAAGAGTAAGAGGGAACTTTATGGGATGATTATAATATTCTATATTTTGACAGAGTGGTTGGTTGTATAGGTGTACTCATTTGCCAAAATTTATCAAAGTGTACATTAAAAAATTTTTTTTTTGAGAGGAAAGGAGAAAGAGAGAGAAAGAGAAACTTTAATTTGTTTTTCCACTTATTTATACGTTCATCGGTTGAGTCTTGTGTGTGCACCATGACCGGGGGTCAAAATCAACATTGGTGTATTGGGACGATGCTCTAGGCCAGGGCCTCAAAGTGTACATTTTAAATAAGTGTATTACATGTAAATTATACCTCAATAAAAGTTATTTTCATAGTTAAAAATAATTGATTACTGTGTTACTCCTTGTCTTTTTTGGCTTTTAGAGCCATTCCTTCTCCCTTGTTCTGCTCTGTATTCTGGGGGGGGCTGACCCTTTCAGACTGTATTCACCATGTTCTTTGAAATCAGTTGACTTTCAGCTGAGATTTGCTCAGTGGGAGACATTGGCAGGAAATTGGAAAGTGGGAGGAAAGGAGAAAAACTAGGGTATTTCTTCCCTTTCCCCTACCTCAGTCCAAATGCCTGCTACATTTCCTTTATTGCTTTGCTTGCCCTGATCATGTCCACTGGGATTCCAGCTTTTGCCTGTGACACCAGTCCTTGACTTCTAGAAATATCTTCCTGTTTGTCCATCAGCCTAGAAAAGATAATGGCTTCTGCCTTCCTAATCTTGCTTGCTACGGACTGAATATTTTTTTCTCCAAAAGTTCTTATGTTGAAATACTAACCCCCAAAGTGATGGTATTAGGAGGCGGGGCCTTTGAGAGGTGGTTAGGTCATAAGGTGAAACCCTAATGAATGGGATGTTGTACCCTTAGAAAGAAATACTAGAGAGACCCCCTCTCCCCTTCTGCCACGGAAGAACATAATAAAAAGACAGCTGTGACCCACACACTCAATCAGCCAGAGTTCTAATCTTGGACCTCAAATCCTCCA